TTCTGATAAAATATTAAGTAACTAATTCATGTTTATATTTACAAAAAATACATTTTAAACCATTATGGTGTTCCCTTTCAAACAATAATTGAATAATAGTTTAACATACAACCGATTTATTTTTTTCTTTTAATTCACATATTTAATATTGGTAGTAGTTGTACAATTACATCAAGTTGACTTTTTTCTTAGTATGAATAATTCAAATCTATGTCAGAAAAATATACCACAAGCTTATCTTATATTATTTTATAATTAATAAAATTAATTTAACATGAATTTATAATTATTTTATAAGATTCTTTTAGGTCTATTTATTATTTTAAATTGGTATTGATATATATATATATATATATATTATTTTACATCGATATAAATAATTATATTATTTTTATTTTATTTACAAAACATTGGTAAAATTAAATATCATGGGAAAGAAATGATATGATATATTATATATAAAAGGGTAACTAAAAAAAAAATTAAGTATTTCAAAAATAAGAAATTTTTGAAATACTTAAATAGTAACAAATTAATACTTAATTTAATTAAGTATTTCAAAAAAGTAACAATCGTGCTCGTTTACATCGATATGTACAAGTTTTAAAAGTTTTATATTTATATTTATTTATTATAACATTTTTAGTTATTACTTTTTTTCATATGTATTAGTAAGTATTACAACTTAATTATATTTTTAATATTATGTATCAGATGTAATATATTTTTACTTTATATTGTTCTTTCATATATATACATATAACTTTTAAATTTGTTAAAAAAATGCATAAAACTAAGTATATAACTTTTTTTGGTCATATGTCTTATTATATCTATTATAGTTGTACATCTTTATATTATATTATGTATAATTACAATTTTCTAATTAATATTATTATCAAATATTTAAAAAAAGATATTTTGTACATTTTTTAATAAAGTTGATTTATTGTAATAATACATATTAATAGATAGGTGAGTAATGGTACTATATCGATATAAATTCTTAGTAAAAATAATTAATTTTCAACGTATATAGGCATATCATAAATCACTATATATTTTTAATTATTTTGAAGATAATGATGGATAAAAGTACAAATAACTATTTTCAATCACCTAAAATTTACACTTAGAATTAATAATAACGAAAAATTAATAAGCGTTTAATAACACCTGAATTGCGTTAAGAAATTGAATCCACCAAAAAGCCAATATTAGCTCTCTTAATTCCTCTAATAGTGACTCAACTCGTTTACATCGATAAGTACAAGTTTTAAAAGTTTTATCTTTATTTTTATTAACTATAGCATTTTATTGTTACTTTTTAATATTTATTAATAAGTGTTACAACTTAAACGGATTTTTAATATTATTTGTCAAATTTAATATTTTTTTCCTTTATATTGTTATTTTATATGTTTATATATGTGTATACATATATATATATATATATATATAACTGGTTTTTTTACTTAAAAAAATAAGAAAAAATGAAGTGGACAAGAACAAAACAAAAAAAAAAGTTGTGGAAATAAATAAAAAGCACGTATTTTGAGAATACGTTTTTCTTTTGTAATTTTCATTGAAAAACGTATGCATAATACGTTTTTCATTCAAACACGTATTCTGAGAATACGTTTTTCAATGACAATTTGTAAAGAAACGTATTCTCAGATTACTGGTTTTTTATTTTGGTCCAGATTTTTTTTTGCTTTTATTTGTGTCCACTTGTGTTTTTTTTGTTTTTTATATATAAATTTCCCATATATAACTCTTATATTTGTTAAAGAATACATAAAATTAAGTATATAACCTTTTGGGTCATATGTCTTATTATATATCAATTAATTGTACACCGTTCTATTTTATTATATATAAGTACAATTTTCTCATTAATTACATGAAAATAAATAGGCTGGGTTTTAGTATTATACATTTTCATAAAATTATTCTAACCTTATTTTAAGCAAATAAATTGGGTTGATTAGAAGTTTCGATTGCAAAACAATCATTCAACAATTAATCTCTCATACTATTACAAAAATTATTACTTTTTATAGGTTATTTTGAAAGAAAAAAATAGTTTCTTTACTTTATAGGTGTTATGAGGACAACATTATGGATTTCAATTTTATTACTTATAGTAATTACTAATAGATGAGTAATGGTGATATATGATATAATTATTGGTGAAAATAATTAATTTGCTGCGAATAGGCATATAACGATTCTTTAGATATCATAATTAATTTGTAGAAAATTGTATGATCAAAATGAAATCATGCTGCTCAACTAATATCCCAATCGACATGAAAATAATTGGACCGGGTTTTAGTATTATTTAATTTCATAAAATTATTCTAATCTTATTTTACGTAAAGAAATTGAGTAGATTAAAAGTTTAGGTTGCAAAATAATTATTCAAAAACTTATTTCCCATATTATTACATAATTTATTCTTTTTTTATATGTTATTTTGAAAAACAAATATTTATATCGTTTCTGGTCGTTATGGGGACAAACAACATCGATTTTAAATATTTTACTTATAGTTATTAATAAACTTGTAAAATTAAATAAATATTGTTGAAACAGTTATCTTATTTGATAGGATACTTACGGTTAAACTCTTATATTTTATTGAAAAAGTCATAAAAGTATTTAAGAATATTGAATAATATCAATAAATAAAATATTTTATTTATAAAATTTTGAATTATAATCGTTTATAGAGCGCTCAACTTGAAAATTAATTGCTCAAATAAAATAATAATAATAATAATTAAAATTTCATGAACATTTTTATTAATAATTGAATGAAAAATTTAAATATTTTAAGTCTTATAATTAAAAAATTACGCAACTTGATATTAATCACGTAATGGTCACGTAAAGATTCATTAACTCTATTAGATTTGCGACCAAAATTTGAAAATACAAACAACTAAACAATGACGATTTTTGTGGGATCAAAATTCAATCCAATAAAACTAAGGTGCAATCTAATTCTAGTTCTAAATACAAGAGTTTATTTTTCTTAAATAATGATCTAGTTAAATGAATTCTTTGATTTTTCTAGTTTGTTAGATTATGTATATATTCCACGTGTGCATGATTTCAGTAATATTTGAGGTATCTTCTCTTGATTAAAGTTATGTATGTATCTTGTAAATTATTTATTATATAAAATTTACCCCTCAACTAAGTTATCATGTTTTACCAAGATTTATCGTTTTGTTAAAAGATAGGTAAACAAATAGTTGAGAATATTTAGATCTTTTATAAGTATTTATTCTGTTGTTTTTGTTGCATAATTTTTTGTTTGAATAAATTTTATATATTAAAATCATTAAATATGATTACAATTTTATCATCGAAATTATATTAAAAATAAGGACGTTATTCAAAACAAAAATTCAATATCATTTCAAAACTTTGTTGTTTGGGTTAATGTTGAGTTGATTTTTTAGAGATATGGAAGAAAACGGTTTGAGAGATATGTGAAAGAAACCAAATTCTTGAAACATAATAGTGTGAATATTGTGGTTGATTTTTAAGAGATGTGGAATGTTTTATTCATTTAATTGTAATAAATGAATAAAATATCAAATGAGTATTAGTGCATTACTAATTTGAGATTAAAAATATGTCAAATAAAAGGGTTTTAGGTAAATATTAGTTATTAATAAAAAAAATATAAGATAGGTTATATATTATGTTATTACTAATTTGCCATTAAAAATATACCAAAGTAAGGGTATATTAGTGACTTCTTTCTTTAACAAAAACACTCATCCTTTTGTAGTAGTATTCTGAGTTACCATTTTAGTTAGCACAACATTTAGACATAGAATATAATAAAACATTTGGACTAAATATTACATAAGATTATTTTGTAGATATTGTTTACAAGAACCAATTTGTTTTGGTGGACTTCTGTGTAAGAGTTATTTTTTTTTCAACAGCTACTTAGCTAAGAGAATTATAACAATTTCTTCAAAGACCACCTCGATCTCCATCATGTTTAGTAAATTTAGAATTATTTGAGTCATACTTTAGGCGTGGATCGTAATAGTTTTCAATGTTATGCTAGTTTTCAATGTTACGTTGTTATTTATTTAGTTAAATATTAATGATTAACTAAAAAATATAAGATTTGAATATTATTAGTGTATTACTAATTTGTCATTAAAATTAAGTCAAAGTAAGAGTTTTTTAAGTAGTTCATTTGTTAATTAAAAATATAAAATAAGATGAGTATTATTGTATTACTAATTTACCATTAAAAATATGTCAAAGTAAGGGTTTTTTAGGCAGATCATTGTTACGTTGTTATTTATTTAATTAAATATTAATGATTAACTAAAAAATATAAGATTTGAATATTATTAGTGTATTACTAATTTGTCATTAAAATTAAGTCAAAGTAAGAGTTTTTTAAGTAGTTCATTTGTTAATTAAAAATATAAAATAAGATGAGTATTATTGTATTACTAATTTACCATTAAAAATATGTCAAAATAAGGGTTTTTTAGGCAAATCATTATTTTTTACAAAATCACTCGTCCTTTTATAATAGCATAGATAGATAGATATAGATAGATAAATAGATAGATATAGATATAAATAGATATAGATATAGATATAGATATAGATAGATAGATAGATATTCGTTTGGGATTCTAATGACTTTTAAGATTTTAATCAAGTTTACATTCAATCACAAGAACTCGCTACGAGTTGTTATTGGACAGGTCGGTTCAAATTATGAATTACTTGTTAATTCCAAAATAATTGAGACTACTTCCTATTTTTATTTTAAAAGCATTACTTTTTTAATAGTTTTTGGGGCCAATAGCCAATAGAATAATTAGTAAAAAGGAGAAAAAAAAAAAAAGAGAGAACAA